ATTTCAAGGCTCAGCTCAGGTTTCGGTTCTTAGAATGATACAACGCTGCCCTGTTTAGTTTCCTGCTTACCAGACAACTCAGGGCTGAGCTATCTACACAACTCCCCACAGGTCATCTCTGCAGAAACAGGGCCTCAAGGCAATCTAAGGCTGAGTTGCTCCTGCAACACCCATGAGTCTCCTGGTGCACTGGACATCACCAAAACCTGTTTAAACTATGAGCCAGACCGATCCTTACAACTAGAAAAATCTGTTTGTTTCCTTTTCTGAAGTGACCATTTGAGGCTTCAGTCTTGCTTTGATGTATAGATACATCCTTGGCGAGAATTCAGTTTCTTCAGATCTTAGCCAAGATTACCTGTTATACCCTAATACAGTGTGCAAAACTATGCTGCATCTTTTACTTTCTGTAGAACTGCCATGTTAGCCTAACCAGTAACTGAGCAGTTACTTCTTAATGAATTGATGTTTTACTTTTTTTTTTAGAGCTCAAATGGTATTTTAACAGACTTCCTGAGTTTCTACACATTACCTTCAACAGTGATGCATCATCCAGTTCATAAAAGCCTCAAAGCAGCCTATTCCTTTTACAATATTCATACAGAGACCCCCCTCTTGGACTTAATGAATGATGCACTCATCATAGCTAAGTTGGTAAGTTGTGGGTGGTTTTTTTCCTGCTTCTTTCACAAAAGTATTCTTAGAAGTGGTGGCAAGGTAAGAACTGGCAGCAATTCATCCATGCCATTGCATTGTGTTTTCTTTAACTGTCCACAGCACAAAGTGCAGTCGATAAGACATATACATTATATATATTAAAATATAAAACACTATGCTTGTTTTTTCTTTTTGCTTTGAATGATGCTAGGGGGTGACAAGTGCACAAAGATCAAGTGTTTGCAATGGCTTCAACTGTGTAAACATCCGAGAGCACACTGATGACCATATTTACTAAGTACTAGAAGAATGGAAAGTATTGCTAAAATAGTTTCCCTATGCAGCTTTAGCTGGAATAGGCCATATGTGTCAGAACACTGTATGTGACTGTAAAAAATGCATCTCTATAAGGATAAAATACTGGATAATGCTTTAAGGACACTTTGGACGTTTATCCCTGAAAAGTGCTCTAAAATTCCTACCCTTTTGGAGATCATCTTCAAGCAAAGTTGTGCCTTACGCTTCACTTTTTATTGGGAAAGCTTCTTTGTGTGTGTACCTAATTAAAAGGCAGGATTTATTCCCTTGTCTTTTTTTCCACTTAATTAGCCTAATCACTTGGATATTGTATGCCACTGTGTCATTTGAAACTTTTTAAAGGTAAATTTAAAAATGTTTTGCTGTTGCCAGAAAGGATTTGATGTGTTCAATGCACTAGACTTAATGGAAAACAAAACATTCCTGGAAAAACTCAAGTTTGGGATTGGCGATGGAAATTTGCAGTATTATTTGTACAACTGGAGGTGTCCTGGCATGGAATCTGAAAAGGTAAGGGAGACAAAAAGAGCTTCTGAATTCTGTTAGGTATAACAGTGCATTAATCTACACTGGCCAAAATGGGCAGTAGTTTTAAAATAACTTTTAAAATTGCTCATATTTGAGATCCATAACTGAGGTGCAGAAAACTTAATGATGTTTAGATTTACTGCCATACTTGAACTAAAATACCATCTTTTTCTTCTTCCTTTAGGTTGGTCTTGTATTACAATGAGGACACTTACATTTCTAGAACTCTGAGGTCATCGTTTGAGTTAATTTGATCTCCATAACTCTTGGAATGGTATTGTTCAAGAGGAGTAAAAGCACAATGTCAGTGATACTGAAATAGTCCATTAAACCTGAACAATGAAGACATCCATATGTGACCAAATTTATGCATTTTCAGATAGATCAGAAAGTTCCTAAAACACTTTTATTGTCCATGAAAAGAATAAAAAGCACATTCATTTAAGTTTCAAAGCTTAGCTTGCACCTTGATGAGAAGAAGGTATTTTTTTTCCACTCTGTAGAAAAGACTGTTTTGTACAAACTGAACTTCAGTGGTGGATTAGGGTACAAAAATATTTGCTATTATGTGGATGAACTGCTGCATTTCTATTTATTAAGTGGTGGTGTATGTTTGTCAGTGTAACAGAATGAAGGATACAAACTTGAGTATCTTTGCTTATTTACTTCATGTGGATATCATCATTTGGGGGAAAATCATGAAGTACATTACGTATGTAGCTCTATGAAAGTCCTGGGTGTTTTTGTAACTGGAGCAGTATGACAATGTGCTGGTTTAACTAGTGCATTTGGTTCTCCATAAGCAACGCTGCCAAATCAATAAAAATACAGATTTGTACTTTGATCTTCAATAGATCAGTGGATTGATTTAACAGTATTGCACTGTTCAGTGCAGGTGTTATCTATGTTGCCGGAATGATAATACATTACTGTACTTAATTTACAGTTGTGGCACAAAACCTTAGTTTTTCCTCAGTAGAATAACATCAGCCTGTGTGTAAAACTAAGAATTTTAGTAGTGCTATCAGGATATTTATAGTTTGAATGTTTTCAACGCTTCTGCAAAATTGCACATATTCCTTTGTCTACTTTGATTTCCTATGAAGTCTGTAATTCTAATGAATAGTATCTTGTGTAAATACGCACTCATAAATTGTTCCTGGTAGTGTTTTTATCCTGACTTTGGAACAAGATGTTTTGCTATATATGTGGCTGGTAAGCAGTAGAAAAATGCTCTACCCTCAGTCCTTGGAAGTCTGTGTACTGCGCTTCCTAAAATGTAGGAGGGCTGATCTTTGTTGTTGGGGGAAGCTGTTTTATTTCCCTCATGAGTGCTCGACAACCAGAGCGGCTTCTGAAGCACTTTATATGTGTCCCAGTGTAGCATCATAGCTAGACAAGATAGCGGTTCTTTCATCTCGTGGATTCTGCAGCAGTGTGAGCACCGAGAAGATCTGCAGTGAGAAACTGTTCTAGCTGAAAGTGCCAAATTGTGGTAGTGAAGCCTCTGTGCTGTGAGCATCTTTTGAATGTGACTTGAATATCTCATGAAATGCAAATATCTGAACTTTCCTTTTAAACATGCCTGTAATTCTGACAGCAGATTTTGCTGAAAAGTTGAATTCTGTACCTGAAAACATCAATTTAGATGAAGATAAATTTGTCTTTTCTTCGTAACTGCTAGCCCTACCCACCTCCTTATAGCAGTGGGGTTTCTCTTTCTTCCTGGTCCTTTTCCAAAATGTGAATGATTTGTGGTTTCTTTTTCTTGTTGAATTGTAGGGAGAGGATTCTGCCCTAGAGACAGTGATAAATACTTTCCCTTATTGCATTATACAGCTCTCTGATTAAAGCATTCAACCTCCTTCAAACAAAGGAAGGAATTGAACGTGGTTTCTCTGACCCCTGGGTGTGCACCAGTTTGGGACCTCATGAATTTAAAAGGGCTTCAGAGGAGATCTTTCAGATATCTACTGGTGGAGCCAGGCTTCACAGCTTTGGCCACTCTGATACCTGTAAGCTGGTAGCGGTCATTCCAGATGGTGCAGAGGGAGCTGGGACTCCATGTGTGAGCAGAACTAAGTGCCTGAAAATGTAATTAATAGCAGTGATTATCCGAGGTAACAAGGATTTAATCTCAACTCCAGTGAGGACTTAAGTTCTTAACTTCCAAAAGACAGGAAGGTGCCTTCCTGGTTGGGTATTTGCATTGGAGCCTGCTGGGATGAGGAGGAGCTTCACCAAGGGTTGATTAGGGTCTCCCTAATCCAAATGGGTGGGTGGTCTTGAAGGCCAGGTGAAAGTTATGCTCATGTTCTCTGCCTTCCCTCCCCTCAGAAAAAGGCAGTGGAAGACCTGTAGGCAGGTGTTTTCTCCTGTCTTCTCCGAAATCGTATGGCAAATCCTCACCAGTGCTATTGTTTGGAGAAGTGTTGAGGCCATGATAGGACCAAATATGTCCAGGTAGAAGACAGACTTGCACCAGGGTTTCCTGCAGCCTGGCTTTCTGTCTTAGTCTTGGAGTAATTGCACATGAAGGAAGGAGTCTAGCTGCTCCTGTGCTGGCTTCTGGGAAAACAGTGCCCTTTGCTTCTGAATCCGAAAGGTAATCTTCTGTCTCATTTTGCGGCTCGTGCTGCATGTTATTTGAGGGGAAGGAGGGAAGAGCTGTGTTCCTGAAGAAGCTGTGCAGCTCTGTAGCTGAGAGAGAAAACTTACAGGGCCAGAGAGCATGGGGGAAGTGGGCATCCGAGCCCATGTTGGGGCAGTTCCTGGAAAGCTTGTCCATGAACTTGTGTGTTGCCTACCAGCTGTGCAATCCAACATGGGCTCTTTTGGCCCTGCTGAGTGCTCTTCACCTCAAGTGCTTCGCTGAAGTATCGCAGTCAAGAGGACTGTGAGTCTTGGTGTCCCAGCCTGCACCCACGCAATAGGAGTTACTCAGGAGGTGGAAATCATGGCAACTTCACTCTCGCTGCTGAAGCAGGTACTTAAGGAAAGTTTATCACCTGTGTGGGTGCCACTGGAGAGGCTCTTCTCTTCCCAAAGTTGAACCTGTCTGTGCATTAGCCTGGCTATGAACAGCTACCAGGTAAGACTCCTCAAAACCTAATAGGTGGCTTCACAAAGACTGGCAAATGTAAGGCTCAGTCCACCACCTTTCCCACCAGTCTTATGAAACAGCTTTAATTTCTTTCCCAGAGTAATTTCCTATCTGTGGCAGGGACACAAATCCCTGAAGAGAGCTATAGACCTGGGCAGGCAGCAGCGTGCTTGAAAGGTGACTGCTGTGCATATGTTCTTTACCAAAGCCAAGCCTCATGCTCTGTTTAAACTCCAAGATTTAAATGTTAGTTAGCCACCATGGGAATTAAATACAGTAGTGCTAGCATGCCTTCAAAGTTTCATGCATCCAAAAAGCCAAAACAAAGGACGTGAAGGACTATGCAGCAAGGCAGAAAAACCCTTCACACCTTTCTGCCACCTTCTGCCAGGGAGGGCAAAAAAAATGGCATTAAATGCCTTAGTTTTGTTAAAATGTCAGGGAGCAGCATGACTACAGAATGATTGCTACCACCTCCCGTCGTAGTTGGTATCATGAACTGAAGTCACTTCTAAATAAATCCAAAATACAGATTAGCTATCTGATGGCACTGTAAATCTGGATTAGCAAATCTCTGGAAACTGCAGCATGTAAATTCCATCTTTTAGGAACAATAACTCGGTTAAGGTATTTTACGCTTTCTTCTACAGTACAATACTGACTTTAACTTAAAATAGATTCCTAGGCTGTTGATTCCGATTTTCTGAATGGCAGCACTACTCCCTTTCCTTCCCACTCACAACTGTCTCATTAGGAAACTGTCTCATCATCTTCAGTAAAACTAAAGGAAACTCAAAAGTTACGTGCTATGTTTTCAGTCTTGTAGTGGTTATAGCTGTCATCTACTCTATCTACAACAGCATACGGCTTATCTCAGTTTCCTGGGAAATAATTTTAAACTCCATTTAGAAATGAAATTGAGATGAGGTTACTTTACATTTTCTCATGGGATGTGTGTTAACAGTTTGCATATAGGAGTCGTTTTTTCCAAAATGTAGCAGTAGTAATTTGGTTTTGTTCTGTATTTGAAAATAAAGCTTTTCCTTCAGCGTGTCAGACACCAGGTATCAAATGGAACCCAAGCCTGCATCCACTCTTGACCAAACAAGGTTTACTGTTCAGCAGAGCAGACTATGGAAGTTCAAAAGGGAAGCGCGTGTACTGTTACAGCTGTTTACTTGAAACAAGCATTGAACCAGCTTTAAGAGTTATACCAGCATGGACCTTTGTTTAAATAAACTTTTGACTTTTGGTATTGATTTGTTTGAATAATTATCCTTAACTCAAGTTTGGTTTGCTTGAAGCATGTTCATCTGTAAAAATACACACAGTTCATTTAACGCTTTGCATTAATTCCAAAGGTATACTACTTATGTCTTAAATTCTTTTGGCATATACGTTACCAATTTTAACTCTCTCACCGCCAACCGCAAATGAAATATTTAGCCCCCTGGTAAAGACTCACTCAAGTTTGAGCAGTGTACTTTTTATTACAGCAGAAAGTACCTTAGCTGAATGCAGTATACAGTTCGCCTTGTATTAAAGTGCTTTACACTCTAAAGCCTAACAAAATACTTCCGTTAGAGCTGTACCCTATACTGCATTAAAAAAATCAGTTTAACATGAAGAATCAAACTAAAATCAGTTATGCTCAAAAAGCTTTTTTCTTTCTGCGAGGAGGTTTCTTTATCTTATTTGGATTTGGAACAAGTTTCTTGATTTTCAGAGGCTGCAGAATTACATGGGCAAGATCGAGCTGACTGCTCTCCGTGCGCTTCCGCTTCTGGCTTGTGAGCTCGTCCCCGGGCCCCTCTGCGAGCTGCTCGGGTTCGTGAACTTCTGAGGAATCTGAATGCGCAACAGATTCTTCAGCTCTGAACTGAAACCAGGGCACCTCCAACGCTGGGATCTTTGGAATTATTGCTTCTATTGCTTCAGTAAATTTGTCTGACTGCTTTTTAAAGCCTAGTGCTAAAATGGACGTTAAGCCAAGAAGCGGTGCAACTGTTTCACTGAGACGGGGAACCTGTCCTGCTGGCGTGGCTCGATTTGCGCTCAGCTGGATGAGATGCGACGTGATCATGGCAGGTTTTGCAGACTTGCACACCAGCAAGAGAAGAAGTTCATTTTTTTCCAGTGCTTTTGTAACTTCATTAACTCCAATAGCAAGCTGCCTTCGGATACTTATATCAGTCCATCCTGGTTTTTGCTGATGGCCTTCTGTTTCCTCCTCCTTGGCGAGTTCATTGGTGCTAGCATCACGCTTTCTTTCCATTTGTTTTTTTGAAAGGGAACGTTTTTTCTTTCTTGCAGTCTCGATCTTTTTAAGACCAGTATGTTTGATCCTTTCTTCTAAGGTCTGCAGTATGAAATGCATATCTTCTCCATCTATAGTTTTCCATTCCAAAACAAAGGGGTTATCGAGACACGTTTTTACAGTGATTTTCTTTGCTTTACGAAGCGTTGCTGTCCCTCGCGGGATTACAGACATCCTGAGGTGGTTTTGTATTTTTGCCCCCTGGCTGCAAAGGGAAGAAAGAGGTGAAGCAAACATTAGTTCAAATACTGCACTGTTTACTGTGGACATCATTACCAGAAACTTCTCTAGGGAACGGAGAAAAGAAACACCACATCTCAAAGTGATACGGGCAACTATCACCTCCTTGTGTTAGCTCAGTGTTAGCAAATCTCCCACAGAGCACAGACTCCGCTGCCTTAAGAAAAAAAAAAAGGGCAAAAAAGCAGCCTGGATAGCAAAGCAACAAAAGCAGCTAGAGGTATTATAGATTTTATACAAATAAAACCAAACCCCAAACACAACAAAACACAAGTTGAAGAACCATTCAGTTTTCACTGTTGCCAGCTGCATGTTAGAGGTATTATGGCATGAAAAAAACCCATGCAGAGTCATGATATGAAACAAGCTCCAAGTTCCTCAATTTATTCAGCATTTTTTAAGCTTCAATTTGCCTTCTCATTCTTTAAGCCACATCTTGTGTTTGCTTGCATTTAGAAGGTATGACAGAAATCTACGGTCTCTTAATTTCTGCTTTCAGTGAAGGAAGGCAAGCTGCCACAGGCCTCCAGAGAGTTCAGAAGGGGTCTTTTGTGTCACCTGGACCACACCTTTAGGGATGAGGACAATTAAATGGGAGCAGAGAAAGGATAATTGTTCTACCTCTGATTGATCTAGCCCAGAGTAACAGCAGAGACATGAGGGCAGGCCTGACTACAGGCCCTGGTAACTCGGGAAGTTCCCATGCTCCTGCTTGGGTTGCTATTCACCCTCTCCTTGCTAAACTAGTAGTATCTCCATTGTCACACAGCCACGCTTACAGAATAAGAGCAGCTCAGGTTTCAAACCAGGAGAAATATGACATGACTCTTTCCTAGGCTTCCTAGTTACCCAAGCAGGTGTATGGACAGTGTTTGTGTACGTCTCTCAAGCGGGAGCTTTAGATACACACAAAATACCATTTGCTAGTCACATCAGTTCTGTGTGTACTGGTAGTAAGCTACCTTGATATATATATATAAAAAAAAAGACAAGCACCATCTTCACTGACCTCCCCCAACAGTATGTGCTGCCATAAAGCAACATCTACCTGGAGGATTTTCCCTCAGTTTGGGGAGGCCAGAGCTGCCCTGCTGCTGTCATCCACTCTTCTGATCCCAAGCACCCAGAGAGGCTGCACCAGGGATGGAAGATCTGACAAAAGGTTTTATTAGTCCCTTATGGGGCTATTATCCAGGCAGTTATGCAGTTCTCTCTTTCGCTTACCATCACAGTAATCAAAATTTGGCAATAATCAAAATTTGGAAAAAACTAAAGCATGGAAGTGACCACAGAAATCTTATACTGAGTTAGAAATAGAAGCTAATGACAAATTAGAAATTAAATATATATATATAATAAAAAAACAGTTTCGGGTTATCTTTTTAAAAAGCTTTCAATGAGGGATGCTCTGATGACCTTTTACAGGGAGTATCAAGCAAAGTCAG